ATATGTAGACGCAAAGTGGACAGATTGATGGAGGAAGGAAGGAGGATTAATGGACGCATGGGCGAATGAAAGACTGAATAGTTTGCTATATGGGCGATTAGATTGACAAATGTAAGTATGAAAGAATGAGCAGGTGGATATATGGACGAATGAAGGAACTGATGAATTTATGTGAGGATATATAGTCGAATGAATGGTGAAATGAATTTATGAATTAATGAGAAGATGGATAAATGGACGATTGGATGGAGAGATAAAAATATGTATATATAGACGAATAAATGGACAAATGAATTTACCAGTGGATGAATGTGTGTGGATATATATACGATTGAATGTGCATATGACTTAATGAATGCATGAATAGATGGATATATGGACCAATAGATGGACAGATGAATTGATTTTATGAATTAATTGTTGAATGTACTAAGTGATGAATAAATGGATATATTGTCAATAGGATGGACGGAGGAATTTATCAGAGTTAATATTTGGATACGTGTACGATTGGATTGATGTATGTATTTACTGTAAGTTGGAAAACATGTATTTGTCAATGAATGGAGAGATTGAAATACGGATTTATGTAAGAAAAAATATTTGTATATATGAACGCATGGATGGATTGCGTGATGAATAGGTGGTTATATGGACGCAGTGATTGATAAAAATGGATGAATGAAAGAATGAATAGGTGGGTATATGGACGAATGGATGGACAGATGAATTGATTTTATGAATGAATTGTTGAATGTACTAAGTGATGAATAAATGAATATAATGATAATTGGATGGACGGATTAATTTATGAAAGAGTTAATATTTGTATATATGAACGCATGGATGGATTGCGTGATGAATAGGTGGTTATAGGAGGCATTGATAGTTAAAAATGGATGAATGAAAGAATGAATAGGTGGGTATATGGACGAATGGATGGACAGATGAATTCCTAGAAGAGTGAATATGTGTCAATGGGGGCGTATGGGTGAAAAGATGTATTTGTGAAAGGATGACTGGGTGACTATCTGAACGCATGGTGGACGTATTGCTAGATGAAAGAAGGAACAGGTAGATTTATGGAAGCATATGTGGATGAATGAATGCATATTTGGATATATACCTGATTGGATGAACAGATGCATTTACGAAAGGATATATGGACGCGTGAGTGGACATGTGTGTGGCCAAAGTAAAAGCGATAAACTCGAGAAGAAGGAGAGAGGAAAAGGGAGTGGGAGGTCGACAGCATTTAGCAAATTCTTGTGGTTATTAATCGACCAAGAGTTGTTCTATCAGTCGATTCGTGTTACAGAGGACCGTAATTGTGCGGATACCGCCCGGTATGTGTGTATGTGTGTGTGAGAGAGAGAGACAGAGACAGAGAGAGAGACAGAGAGGGGGAAGAGGAAAGGGCATGTCGCTGCTGCCGCCGCAGCTGTTGTAGGACAGGTCCCAGTTTTGTGGGTTTATTGCGGCCAAAGGAAAAGCGCAATAAATGGCAATGACCAAATGAGCCCTTTGCTGCGGGTTCTGAGAAAGCCTGTCCCGGCAGCAAGTTGCAATGCCCGAATTGGGCCGAACAGGCCGAGTTGACACGAACGAACCAGTTGGCCGAGTCGGCTGGTGGCAAATCGGCCAGCCGTCTCGGGTCCGGTACCAACGGGCAGGTCTGCTTTGATGGCGACGGCCAGATGCGGCACCAATTAGGCCGCGGAAGCAATAAAGACGTGGAACAGTGAGTTGAGCAATTGCATAATCTGCAATAGCAGACGACAAGTCTGTCTGGAGGAGGGTTGAAAGGAGTCTGA